CACTAGCTTAATATGAAATAATCTGTCCACTTATATATGTTTCTGAGTATCCCATAGGATGCTATAACCTATCTCTGGGGATTCGTTTGTCTCAAGGAAGAAATCAATTTGAGCATCAATAAATTTTACGAAATCGTCGTCTGCCAAGAGTCTTGAGTTAAACCGCCATGTACGTTTGAGGATTACATTGCCTGGAAAGCATAGCTTTAGTGAGACTGAACAATGGTCTGAATTATCAATACTACCTTACTCTACTTCTGACATTAAGGGAAGTAACTGCTTGTCCAGGAGAAAATGGTCAGTCTTGGAATAGGTTTGATGCACAGGTGAATAGAAGGAAAATTGCTTGGAAGATGGATCTTTAAATCTCCAGGGGTCATTTACACCATATGTCTGAAGGAAGGAGTTGATGCATTGTGCTGGCTGACTTAATGTATTACTCGAAGAGCTAGAGCGGTCCAAAATTGGGTGCAAAACACAATTTATATCGCCTCCTACAATAAAATTGTGTTTGTCGAGACTAGGCAAAATTGAAAATAAATCTCTGAAAAATTGTACATTGTCCCAATTAGGGGCATACACATTGGCCAGGACCACAGACGTGTTAAAAAGTTAACCTTGGATTAATATGTATCTGCCATTTTTATCCAACACTTTTGACTCCATAACAAACTGTACATTCTTATGTATGAGTACAGCAATTCCCCTACATTTGTTATTGAAGTTAGAATAATATATTTGTGTATAGCCTCATCTATTAAGCTTAGAATAGTCTTTTTTCAACAGATGTGACTCCTGTAAATATACAATAGTAGATTTTAACTTTAAAATAAAAATTTGACATGGCAAGATGGCTACTTCCAGATTTAAGCTTTAATAGCTTTGAAGTCCAACTACTTAATTTAGACTGGAACAGCCCTCTATGCATAGACATGATCTATCGCCCACCTCACTCCACAAAAGATTTCATCAAGCACTTCATTGAACTGATCGGCAACATGACAATTTCTGACAACCGTTTCATACTAGTAGGCGATCTTAATATTCACATTTGCTGTCAATCAAACTCTTTTGCTCAAGATTTCATCAACCTGTTGGATCACACGGCACACGCCTGGACACACACTGGATCTCCTTTTATCTTTTAGCATTGAGCTTTCTGACATTGTACTCTCCCAATTTTTGATTTCCGATCACATACCTATTCTATTTACGCCATCCCTCACGAAGATTGCATATTGCCCTAATACGCCTACCATGCTGTCAACAATCTACACATCCAATTTTAGCTCGGATTTTAACCAGTGCTTTACCGATTTCTACGTCAAATCGTGCCTAAATGACCCTTCATCAGAACTGGATGCTGAACAACATCTTGATCTGCTGCACTCGGTCTGCCAAATAGCGGCTATCAAATCTGCACCCCTGAAATTATGCAGACAAAAAATAAAATCTGAACCTTGGAAAACGTTAGAGACACGCACTTTAAAACAAAAATATAGACAGGCTGAACATAAATGGAAAAAAGGACAGACTTACCATGTCTCTTCAACTTTTCAGATCTGCTCTGTTTTCTGTTTTAGAAAAAAATTGTACTTTAATCAATTACAAAGATTTCTATCCCAGAATGATATCGCTGAGCCTTTTCAATCTGGCTTTAGGCCGGCCCATAGCACTGAATCCGCTCTATTAAGAGTTTTGAATGACATCTATCTACTCACTGATACTATTAATCATGTGGCCTTAATTTTGCTAGATTTATCCACAGCCTTAGATACTATTGACCACTCTGTGTTATTATCTCAGCTAGAATCCTGGGTTGGGCTGAAGGGTACAGTGCTGAAATGGTTTAAATCGTACATCTCCAACAGGAAATTTTTTGTCAAAATTGGTAACTTTTCCTCCTCCACGGCACCGTTAACTTGTGGTCTTCCTCAAGGCTCAATTCTAGCACCTTCACTGTTCTCTCTTTATATGCTCCCTCTAGGTTCTATTTTCAGAAAACATGACCTGCATTTTTTTTTTTTATGCAGACGATACACAAATCTATGTCACTGAAAAAGGAAAATGAGTCCTCTGTTGTGAACTCCCTTTTACTATGCGTGGAGGAGGTAAAAGCATGGCTTTCTGAGAACTTTTTATTTCTAAATGTGGAGAAAACAGAAGTTATTTTATTTGGGCCCAATGATTTGTCTGACTGTAAACGCCCCAGGCTGGGTAACTTGGAGGAGTTCAAATCACCCCAGGTACGTAACCTGGGCATAACATTAGACCAAAACTTAAAATTTGATAAACATATCTCAAAAGTGGTGGGAAATAGTGTCTACCAACTCCACCTTCTTGCAAAAATGAAATCCTTCACACTCTCTAGAAATTGCCATACACGCACTTATAACCTCCCGGTTGGACTATTGCAACTCGCTCTATTTTGGCCTGCCTAAGTCTCAGATTGCTTGGCTATAGTTAGTGCAAAATGCAGCAGCTAGATTCTTAACAAAAAGCCCAAAATATGCACACATCACTCCTATTCTGAGGCTCTACATTGGCTACCGGTGATACAAAGAATCCAATTTAAAATCCTTTTCTTTGTGTATAAAGCCCTACATGGTCCCAACTGATTGTTAATTACACTCCTCCAAGACACTTGCGTTCCGCTGATCAGTTTTTATTAAAAGTTCCAAAGGTCCACATACACTTATAAACACAAAACAACACAATATTGAAACCTTGCATGTAAACTTGCACACACTTCCAGCTACTCCCACTCTTAACCAGCTGACATTTGTGGGACCTCACATATAAAACAAAACAATTTGAACACCTCTTGATGTTTCACTACAAAGCTACCTCATTATTGACTAAATATACTTGAGAACTAGGAATAACAACAAACATGCTATGGTGGTCATTTAAAACATAACCGCGAGTGACATTAACAGTTGTATTGTCTTTGACAGCTCAGTGTACTGTCGTTATTTTCTTCAATTTTATGGCTTTTTCAAAATATCATATTTCGGAAAAGTAGTGTCATTTAATCACGAAGACTAGTGGCGGTTCCTTGTCGTCCACTGGTTTGCTGCTGAGAGTGCTGTGTGCCTGGTCAAAAAGTGGAGTCTTCTCGAGGTTCACGGTGTCTTTCAAGAGGCCAGCTACAAATTCCGTCACGTGGATAAACGCTTATTTTCCAGTATAGGTTAGGTTTAATTTAGGATAAGAGCAATATTAAACGAACTTTCAGGTTTTACGTGAGGACCTCAACAGTTTGCGTCTTTACATGGCGCCGCTCCAACCAGAAGTCCAAAACAAACAATATAACAATAATCACAATGAAACACAAAACCCTCAGCACTTATAACTCAAATGAAAGTAAAGAAAAAAAATGCAAATGATTTTTGAATATGGGGAAAAATAATAATGATGATAATATAAGTACAGGGAGAAAACAAAACGAGAAATAAAAAGAGAAAGTGGGCCAAAAAAACGTGAAGGGAAATGAGAGGGGAATGGTGAATGTGGAGGTGTGGATGTAAAGGTTGAGGGCGTCGACGAACTCAGCCGGTGAGTAGCAGTCACGGGTGCCTAACAGGAAACTCTGACACCGTCGACTGCCGGATAAAGGCTTTCGGCAGCTGACTCCATGCCAGCGAGATAAATCGATAAATTGATTTTGTTCAGGACACACTGCACTGAAGTTTTTGGTAACGCACTCATTTACAGACATCACGAGCACTTCAGTAACAAGACAGCGGTCTTTGCTCTGTTGCTTCGATACATACTTTTTGCTTTTTGTTTCTCACAGCGAGTCATTAAGTTTACACTGCTTGTCTCGATCTGGTTTCTCTACTCGTTTCCCCACACTGCAACAGTTCAGTCAACTTCTCTTTCTTGCGCACACCACATAATGCTGCCCTCTTGAACCCTCCTCTTTCTTTACACTCCCACCGATTTCCTTTTTAAATGTCATCACAGAAAACCCCAACAATCATAAATGCATGATTATATGCTGTCATGGCTTTGCAGTCAAAATTTTTTGTTATAATAGAGGCCAATGGAGAAAAAAACAGCCATGAATATAACGAAAAGGGAGTAAATTTGTCCTGAGTGTATTGTTTTTTTCTTTTTTTACGAAGCATTTTCCCAGAATATGTCAAAATAAGATGTCCTCAAATATCAGTCTGTTTGCTGAAACACAGAAAAAGTTTTGGTCAAATTAAGCCTCAAAATCACCCCAGAATGGATGAAAAATGACCCAACAGCACACAAGGGGAAAGGTGCAAATTTCAGCCTTTATGCAGATGCTGTACAGATGTGTCTCATGTCTGTTAGGCAAATATTCTCGGCTGTTACCCCAGAACTTTTTTTCTTATGCGTTTACCCGTCAGGCACAGAATAAACAAGTATTCCCTGTCTGCTTTACAAAGTTTAGAAAAACATTTTGTTGGGATTAGGAATATATATGAATAAAAACAGGCCATTTACAGCTTTCTAATATCTGTCTTATCAATATGACCAAAATTATTTTTATGATCAACTATGTAAGAAATGCTGAAAACTGGACTGACACAGTTTCAATTTACTATAACTTCTATGTTAAGCGGCTTTGACACAATTTACATTGCAAAAGCACTAGGTAAAGATTAATTGAATTGAATCTGCTTAAATGTATACACGTTAATGGACCAAACACAATATGATCTGATTTATTTTACATTTAATTTGCATCAAAATTTCAGTGTGTAGCCAATGTTTCCAGTGTCTTTTCACTTTTCAGCTTTTGATGAGAGTTTTTAAGACTTCATGAAAACTAATGTTTTATTTATTTATTTATTTCAGACTTTATTGAAGAGAATGAGGGGAGTAAAGAGGAGGAACATCATGTCAAAATTGAGGAAAAAACTCATTTACAGACTGATGGTATTTTGAAAAGGAGAGACAAGAATCGTTTCACCTGCACTCAGTGTGGAAAGAGTTTTGGAAACAAAAGCAAACTTAAGATTCACATGAGGATCCACACTGAAGAAAAAACATTCACATGCACTCAGTGTGGGAAGAGTTTTAACTGCTCATCACACCTTAATAAACACATGAGGATCCACACTGGAGAAAAACCATTCACATGCACTCAGTGTGGGAAGAGTTTCAACCAATCATCAAACCTTAATCAGCACATGAGGATCCACAGTGGAGAGAAACCATTCACATGCACTCTGTGTGGGAAGAGTTTTAGCAGCTCATCAAACCTTAATAAACACATCAGGATCCACACCAGAGAAAAAACATTTACATGCACTCAGTGTGGGAAGAGTTTCAGCCAATTATCATCCTTTAATCTACACATGATGATTCACACTGGAGAGAAACTATTCACATGCACTCAGTGTGGGAAGAGTTTTATCTGCCCATCACACCTTAATAAACACATGAGGATCCACACTGGGGAGAAACCATTCACATGCACTCAGTGTGGGAAGAGTTTCAGCCAATCATCAAACCTTAATCAGCACATGAGGATTCACACTGGAGAGAAACCATTTACATGCACTCAGTGTGGAAAGAGTTTTAACTGCTCATCACACCTTAATAAACACATGAGGATCCACACTGGAAAGAAACCATTCACATGCACTCAGTGTGGCAATAGTTTCATCCAGGCATCATCCCTTAATCTACATATGAGGATCCACACTGGAAAGAAACCACAAATTAAGCCGCGATTACATTTAGACTTCCATTTATACACACTCGAATGCATCAAACCAGAAACGTTAGTGCGTCAAGTTTCGTAGTTCACTGCCTTGCAAAGTTCAAGCTTGGTGAACTCTGACCTGCAAAATCACATCACTTGACTGTGTAAGACCAATCAAAGATCAACACATGACCTCTCTGGACAGAAATGTAAAATATGGACCAATCGCTCACCTTTTTAATGTCTAATAATCTTGGTTAATCCTGCCCCTTTTCGCAGCTCTGCACAACTGAATGTTGCATGCTCAAACTCTAGTGTGACCGCAGCTTCGGTGTGGGATTAGTTTCAGCAACTCCTCAGACCTTAATAAACACATGAAGACCCACACTGGAGAGAAACCATTCACATGCACTCATTGTGGGAAGAGTTTCAACCAATCAGCAAACCTTAATGAACACATGAAGATCCACACTGGTGTGAAAGAGTATGTGCTTGAGTGTGAGAAGACTTTTATTACAGCTCTAAAATTTAAACTGCACCAGACGATTCACACTGGAGAGAAACCGTACAGATCTGATCAGTGTCTACAGAGTTTCGCTCATTCGGCGCAGCTAAAGAAACGCATGGAAAAAAGTTGCACACATGACATAAATGCAGCAAAACATTTTCTCTGTGCACAGAATGTTTCATGTTTGAATAATGTTTGAAAAGGCTGAGTGACAGTTTACTGTTTTCCAACTCTCATACACTGCAGTGGGTGGGGTTGTAAATGTGTTGCGTTTACTGTAAACAATGGTGGCAGCTGAAAGAAGAACATTTTCATAAACATCTGGCAAACAGTACCTCTGCGGCTTAAAATCTCTTTGCAAGTGATTATACAGGTGCGGATACATCTGTACTCTACTTTCCACTGTGTTCATATAGCTAGTGTTGTTTTAGATTATGTTCTCTGTCTGACTCCCTGAATGAGAAATCCAGATTGGAGTATGTGGTAAATCCTGATTGGATGCTGGCATTGCTCATCAGTGGGTATATAAAAGTTGTTGTGCTTGCTACCCCAGGACCCTGTGGCTACTCGGGAGTCCTCATGTCAAGACCTGCCATCTCATTAACTCTTTATCCTCATGGTTTTGTTTTGCATTACTTATATCATGTAGTTAAAGTGTTGTTGTGATTTATACCCTAAGTTTTTTAGCTTCATTATTAATTACCCCTAGACATTTGTTGGTTGCTTTGATTGATTGTTCTATGAGTTACATTTTTTAATAAATAATTTGCATTCAGGCTATTTTGTGGGCTCTTCTCTCTTTTATGTTGTTACTCAAACAAGCGGGTCATAACACTTTGTAAAATGCTTCTGGTTGTATCTGAGACCTTGTCCTTTCAGTCATAATCATAGGTGTAAGTAGGAATCTTGATTGAGCGGTAAATTAAGAACATTGCCTTCTTCTCAGCTCCTTCACCCCAACAATCACATCAACTGCATTAATGCTGCTGCTGCACTGATCCATCTTTTAATATCACATTCCATTCCTCATGAAAAAAAACGCAGATACTCCATTCGGGGTAAGGACTCTCCTACGAACTGGAGATGGCCACCTTTTTTCAGTCAAGCACCATGGTTTCAGTCATACAGATGCTGTTACTTACCCTGCAATGTCACACTCAGCTGAAATAACCGTCAGATCTGTGCATCTCTGCATGATGGAGCTGTGTTAGCAATGTCCTCTTTGGAGGACAACTGATCATCCAGAATCACCCTAAGATTTCTTACTGAACTACATGGGGTAATGGTGTACGATCCCAGCTGGATTGCGAAATTGTATTGAATGTGTGGAGTTGCAGGGAAGATGATGTAAGCAGATGAGTAAACAAAGTAAACATGGAACAGAGTGTTTCTGCTGCACTATTTACATCAAGAAGTGAGAACTGTGAGTGTGAGGGAAGAGAGGATTTAACAGTGGAGAAGTGTGTGGAGGACAAACCAATTTTTACTAGTAGCAATTTAGTTGTTGAAATCAACAATTGAATTTTTGATATCAACAATTAAACAGAACGGAACTACTAAAACTATGAATCCATCTCATCACCAACTCTGCCCACTCAGGACAGCAGAACCGTTCGTATAAACAAAATCTCCCTGGACCATCAAATAAAGCAACTAAGAAAGGCAATAAAAAGCAATCCCACGGAACTGGACAAACTGCATCTACCTTGACATTCCAAAACATGGACAATCCACTGGATCATGATGTCACTATTGGACTTCCCACCCCCCTCCCTTGGCCTCCAGCTCCACATTCCAGCCCTACTTATCCAGCCACCCCTTCCACTCTCAATCCTTCTCAATTCTCTCTCCCTTCCAACCACCCTCACTCATTAACCCAGCTTATTTTTACCCAGTCTTTTCTCTACAAATCCTAATGCTCTTCCTCTCCCTACACATTTCCCCTCTTCCAGTTTCCCTACCTTTTTGTCCTCTATATCTCTTCACCAAGCACCCAACTCCATTACTAACCCTCCCCAACAGTCTACCCTCCCCACTCACATTTCTTCCGCACGGCCCCCTTCACCCTTACCACAGCCACACCCCTTCTCATTCCGCATAATGCTCCAGTCCTGGAACCACCCCTGATCTCCAACGCCATCAAGAACCTCATCCTATCAGGTGCTGACATTGACCTTTCTACACTTCTTTTACCCATAGCACCTCCCTTGGCAGAAGAACAGGTGGATTGCTGTGAATTCACTATTACACTTAAATCACCCGTTAGCTCCCAACCCACACACTTTCATTAGCTGAATTTCACACAGCATTCGCACATTATACAGAAACCATCTGTTCAGTCCTTCCTTATAAGAGGCTATGGGGGAACACATTTTTCACACTTACCACAAATAATTTTTTTGCAAAATGCGCTATTCGCGTTACTCAGTGGAAGGAATGTCTCTACTGGGGGGCCTTGGATACAGATGTTTACAACTGAGTTTTTTTAGGATGCTGTAATCTTTCCTGCACGGTCTGCTGTTCAAATCTGCACACGACCACTTCCTGTCCCTTCTTAATCCCCTCCTCTGACAAAAAACTACAAACCCCAAGATCCAACAGCTACGTACCCCGCCCCTCTACCTCTGCTATCCCCGCTCTAAATCCTCCTCCTTTCTTTTCAAAACCCTCCTCTCTGTCTTGCAATAACTTTAATATAGCAAGATGCTTTTGCCATCTTTGCAATTACTTTTTACATGTTTGGGTAAAAAAAAATATTTTCTTTTGAGAAAGCGTAGCGATGCCTTAACAACCACCTAGCAACACCTTAGCGACCACGTTGGAACACCTTAGCAACCGTCTAGCAACACCTTAGCGGTTGCTAAGGTGTTGCTAGGCAGTTACTAAGGTGGTTGCTAAGGTGTTGATAGACGCTTGCTAAGGTGTTCCTAGGTGGCTGCTAAGGTGTTGCTAGGTGGTTGCTAAGGTGTTGCTAGGCGGTTGCTAAGGTGTTGTTTGAACTGTTCAAGGAAGTACCTTACCAGGTTATCAGCATAGTCACAGTAATGAGCACAGGTGGTTGGGGAAAGCATCAGATAGATACTAACCGACAGTGATTGTAAGTTGTTGTAAAGTGGTGTTGGAAGAATATCCTTCAGTACTACTGGACCAGTGTACAGAAGAAACTGCCTAAACTCAGTAGCTTTCCAGCGATCCAGTTCAGAGAGTGATTGTGGCTTTCGTGCAAATTCAGAGGGTATGTATTTTGACATTCCTACAAGACTCTCTGAGATGTTACTTATTATATGGAAGCTCTGTCTGTTTTTTAGGTTGCCCTTGGTCCAAAAATTGATCATCTTCCTTGTCACACCGAGGCAAACATCATGCATATAATCCAGCATGAATTGTGTGACCATTCCCAAACTTAATGTATTGAGTATAGAGTGACCTCTGTGGTGGTTGTCATCATGCATTTCTGTAAATGACTCATCTGTCCTGAGTGGGGCATGTGTTTCTGGGAATATAATTTTCCGTCCCATATAAGATCCTTCCTGCGTGCAACGATCGCAACAACTATAACCTCCATGCCCCTTTGTTTGTTTTATGAATGATCGTGCAGGAGCATCACAGATAAAGCAGTCCAGGGAAAGATGAAACAGCCTTTCAGCCACAGTGAAACCTTGTCCTAGTGCGGAAACCTCCTCTGCAAAATCTTGGGAGATATTGGTTTGGATTGCGAGGTTTGCTGTTTCCACAGAAGACACCAATGACAAACGGGTCCCTTTCAAAATAAATTTTTCCTAAAATTGGCCAAATTTGCTTCTGTGAGCTTTTGAATAATGGCAGTCCATCTATATTGACCTGCATCTTAATTTTGTCAGTTTGTAACATCAGGGCATTTCTGTTTTGGAGCAAGTGTTCCAATATTCCAAAATGGACATAATCCCCACCATCCATTTTTTTGACTTTACGTGTGTGTGAAATTTTCATCAAAGTTCTCACACATTTAGGAAGTAAGGGGATGTGTTTGTTTAGAATTTTAAGTAGGCTGTCAGCGGCATTTTGTGTCACACCACACTCTACAACCCACTGACGCAGCTCATCTGGCAAGTCATCAAAGGAGCCTCTGTTGTGTGTCACTAAAATCTAAATCTTCTTCCTCGCTGAAATTCCTGAGGTAGTCTGTAAATCTGTCATCATCATCAGTGACATCATCAATGTGTCTTTCAAGGTCAGTGTTGGTGTTTGTGTTCTTTGAAATTTGAGATATTATCACAGTTCATTTCTTCATCTTGTCCTGTTTCAGAATTTGCCAGAAGATATTCAGCCACTTGGTTGTTGATGTCAAGTGTTTGTGTAGTTTGGAGATCATGAAGTATATTCTGGACACGCCTCCATTTGGTAACTGAACTCAC